CAGCTAACCCCAGCCCTGGCGTCATCCCAGCCCAGGTGTCAGATAGTGAGTGAAGAAGCCTCCAGAAGATTCCAGCCATGTAGCTTTTCCCAAAGGGAGCAAAGACAAAGCATTCCCCTCCTCCTGTCTGAATTTCTGACCTACAAATTCATGAATGTAAAAAAATGGCTGTTTTACACCCCCCACACACAAAATCACCAGAGTAAAACTCTTATCAGACCATTTTCCTTAGTTTAGTGTATGAAGATACAGTTTACTGAAGTTTTAGTTGAAGAAAAAGGGTATCTTTCCTCAGACCTTCCAGACTAAAAATTCCAGATATTCTCATGCTTGGTCCCCATTTCGCTAAGGGCAGAAGTTCTTGCAACCACATGGGGTCACACCCGTACCAGTGGGGAGCCTTCTACTGTGCAAAGAGAAAGCTGACCAACTGGAAGAGATTCTCAGTGGACCAGTTGCCTCAGGAACAGTGAGTGCTGAGTTTCAAACACCACTTCTGGCATCCTGGTTCCAGGACTCGTCTGTGACTGTCGCATTCTCCGAAGCACACTCAAGGCCCTGGAATCCTGGCTTCATCAGCTTTATGAGCTGTCAAGGTGTGGCACTACATCTGCCAGGTTTTCTGGCCATTGTGTGACTAATACAGGTACCAGGGCTTAGGACAGGTTAGGGAGAAGAGTACTTAAGTCTGTCAAATTGTAGACAGTCCTCAGGACCCAAAGGCCTACGCAGTGGATGTATTTTGCTTTTGTTTCATATCTTTAGAGATAGGAACCAATAATTACCTGTTCATCTCCAGACCGGAAAGACATGCTTCTGGGTCAGCATAAAAAACAGTTGCCCCCTGAGTCGATCTCCCACCCATGATCCCAAATCCAGTTGACTCATCCAGGAGTCTATTGAGAATACTGCTATAATAAATGCCCCAAACCCTACAATCTTTGCTTGAATCCATCTGGGTCACCCAGAAACACTCTTCCCCCTTACCATAGTCTTCTGGTTTTAGTATCAATTTTACCTCAACTTTCAGCATAATGTTTTCAGCCAAAAGGCTCAATCAGTGTCCCAAACTTTTCCAGTCTGTGGTCCTTACTCATAGGTAGGGTTTGTATGGAAGAGAAGGAAAAAGGGAGAGGGAGAGGGAGAGGGAGAGGGAGAGGGAGGGAGGGAGAGAGAGAGAGAAAGAGAGAGAGATGGGAATGGTAGGGACAGACAGGCACAGAGAGAGACAGAGACAGATTTAGGCACACAGAAAGAATTTCTGTGTAGGGAAGAGAAGTTGAGATAATTTAAAACTACTTATTCTACTAGTTCTGGGGACATGAACAGTTTACTAAATAAAATTATTTTACAATGACTAAAGAACAGTCAACTGAGGATCTTGAATGTCTTTTTTTTTTTTAAGATTTTTATTGGGGAATTTGGGGATGGGAACAGACAAGTTGCTGTTTTGTTCTTCAGTCTAGTTGTGGAGGACGTCGCTTCACTGGCCCAAGTTGGCACCATCATTGTGCTCTTCCTGGGCGAGGCAGATCAGTCACCAGCTTCTGGACGGCCGCTCACCACGGCTGCTGGCTACACACGGTAGCCCATGGCAACCCACTGCAGCAGGGGCTGCAGCCTACGCCATCGCCAGTGACTCACGGCAGCCTAGTTCCAGGTTGAGCTGTTGTTCAGCATCTTAGCTGTAGAGGGCAGTGTCACTGGCCCTCATATGTGGGATCCGAACCGGGGTTCTCTGGCGTCTGAGCCAGCTCTTAACCAACTGAGCCACTCGGCCAGCCCTTGAATGTCATTTTATAAAGTAATTTACTACAAGTTTTGAAAGAAATCACTCAACCAATACATGATAGCCACTGGGTATGGATTCCCCTGAGCCCTGTACCTGAGAAACTTTTAATTTATGATACTATTACACAGTTCTTTGGCTCTAGAATGTATTGCATGTTCACTAAAGAGTATAATTATCTTCATCTCCAACCTTAATTCCACAATATTTACCAAGCATGTTTATTAGAAGGTGGTATATTTACTTAATTTACATGTTCAGTCATTATAACATGCCGGACAGTGAGGTAGCTCCGTCTCCAT